GCCGGGGCCAGCTGCGAAGCCCGGCGCTGAATTGAGCCTTGGGCTCGGCCCCGCGGTGCGCTCACGTGTGTGTGACGTGAACAAGGAGCATGGAAGGACCAGCGTCAGGGTTGGCATGGGGCAGCTTGGCTGTGCTCCCCAGTGCCCGGCTGTTCATGGGGACAGCAGGTGCTGCAGCCTGGGCATGTCTCGGTGCCGGCAGCATCCCCTCGCCTCTTGTCTCACGCTCCTGCCTTTGCCTCAGAAGCGAACTCTTCCTCGCGTCCTCTGACACGTTCCCCGCTTCCTTCACGATCCTCAGCTTCTCTGCGTCCCCACGACTTCACGTCTTCCTCCACTTTGTGGAAGCCGTGCCCTCCTCCATTCCCAGCGCGGCAGCTCTGCTGCGGAGCCCGTTCTGTGCTGTCTGCTCCGGGGCGGCGCGGGAAGCCGCTCAGCCCCGCCAGAAGGCCCGAGGAGCTTCCCCGGGCTCACAAAAAGAGTTGCCCTCGGAGAGCGGAACGGGTGCGCCGTCGGCACAGATGGCGCCTGCCCACCTACAGCCCTAACGTAGTGATATCGTCAGCCACGCTGGATGCAGCCGAATCAAAACTGACATCAAACTAATTGCTTTAGCAATTATAAGGCAATTAGAATAGAAGAATCACCAAGTCTTAATTAAGAAGCAGATTGAACAGGATTTAGCAGCTCCTAGCTGAGAAATATCAAAATCGTTGGATATCTGTTCTTCCAAGTAGGATTTCAGATGGCAGGAACGCTGGTGCGTGGTGCTCCGACAGCACACGAATGTGCAATGATTTGCACTTGCCTCATTGGAAGGAAATCACACAGGAATGTTAGGGAGAACGGGACGTGCTCCAGTACTGAAAAGTTTCTTAAGAAAATAGCTGCTGTTTTACTTGCTCATCAGCGTAGCAGGCAGAAGTGGATCAGAAATCTGGCATTAAACCACGTAGCTGAACCACATCACGCGTAGCTGCTCTCTGTTAGGTTTTTGTTTCCATTGCAGCAGCGCCGTAATTCACCTCTCTCCCGTAAGACGAAGTTTGGGGAATGTGAGGAGTTAAATGGCATGTTTGCTTGCTGCCGCATGGGGACAGCCTGCTGACCCCGCTCCTGCCTGTCCTGCTGCCGTCGGGGCTCTGCCGTATGAACGCTGGCCCCCAGAGCCGCAGGCGCACGCGGTGGGCTCGCCTCTGTGCATTCCAAGGGCACACCAGCCCGCGCAGAGCGGGGTCCAGCCGGTGCCTTCCAGAGGGAGCCGGGCGCCCAAATCTCTCTGCAGGCCTGGATTTTTGTGCACCTCAGCCCGGTCCTGCTGGGTGCAGAGCGTTGTACAGCGCTGCCAGACCGCAGGAAGCATCTCTGTGCCGAAGCATGCCGGAGTCTCCCTGAGGTTCACGCGTAATTTCACATGTAAATTAATGCACATTTGTATTTCGCTGAGCATGGTGCATGCACGTGCCCACCCAGCGCAGCTATGCCGATGCCCCTACCTTGTGAGCAGCACCCAGCGTGCTGCCCGGGAGCCAGCGCGTGCCGGCCCAGCCCCAGCCCCCGGGGCTTGCTCTAGGAGCTGGACGGGGTGTGTTGGTGCTGACAGCCACGGTTCCCCCTCCCCGAAAAATCACCCGTGGCTGTTGTCAGCTGCTACGGCTGCTCTCCCAGCTGTGCTGTCACATTCCCACAGGTCTGAAAGCTTCCCAGCAGCCTCAGAGCGATGCTGGTGGGCGATGGCGCTGGGCCCCCGCCGGGACTCTCAGTGCCTGGTGTGGGCCAGTCCTGCTTCCCGGCGCACGGAGCCACACCGGGGTTTTTGCTCGCCTTCGGTGTCCATGCGGAGCCTGTCCCTGCTGCACCGCTGGCAGGGGCTGCTGCCACCAGGTCTGGTTTGCTGACTTGGCCCTCTCCCCTTCCCCAGGAGAC